ATATATATATATATTATATTTTTTTAATATATTCATATTTAATTAATATATTTATTATTATATTTCTAATTATATACCTAAATATATAGTATATTTCTGCCTAAACAGAAATTAATGTTAATTTCGATAAAAATACCTGTAGCTTGGGAACAATTGTAAAAAGAGAAAAATCTGAAATCTGTTATATTAACGGGCGTGGTTGTTTAGTGTTAAATGATCTACATTTATATAATATTTTTTTCTTATTTAGATATATGGAATATACTGATATTTCTGTAAATAATTCAGACCTGGCCGAAATTTATTTTGAATAATAATTTATGAATCAATTTTTGAAATAATGTTCTTTAATGTTTGGCAAATAATGGAAATGATAGGGAAAATAATAAATTGAAGAACCGATTATTTGAGAAAATAATATTTATTTGATAATTTGAAAATTTGTCTTTAAAATAACATTCAAAATAGATGTCAAAGAAACCAAAATACTCAAATCAAAAAAAAAAAAAAAAAAATTGATGAAATGAAAATTAAAATAATTTGCTGGTATGTGTTATCACGGCAGAAATTTGTCGTTCCTCAAACATTTGGTTCGTTAATGAACAATCTGTTAAAGTTGCAAATGAGAATAGTCTCTCTACTGATGGCGAAGACGAGAGGGAAGTATTATATTTTACAAATATATGGAGCATATTTAAATTTTTTCTATCGTCATCGAAAAATCGAACGATATTCATTCAACATTTATGTGTAGACAACTATACCGTAGTCGCAGAATAAAAATAAATAGTAAATATAAATTACATTGGACACGTTATACCTTGAGAAACCAATTATTTCTATCAAAGTCAAATAACAAAGATCCTGGCAAATAGTATCATAATTCATTTCATAAAATAACAAGTAAATCATTTAATTGGAAATAAATTAATTTAATTTTTGTATGAAATGTTTAACAATATAATTTCATTATTTTACAAATAGATTATTCCTGAAGTAACTTTCAAAATAATTTAAAAATGGCGTTATTTGAAAATTTTTCAAAACACAGGTTTGATATAATTATATTGCACAGGTTGGTATATTATATTATTATTATATTAATATAGTATTATTACATTTATATATATAATATGTTACTTTAATATATTATTTTATGGTTGCAAATGATCTGAATTGAAAATGTATATGGAAAAAAGATATCGATGTGGTCAACATACGTTGCTGTTTAGTGT